CCCCATTTTCGTCTCTACTGCATCACTTGTGGACGCGCGTTCACAACAGTAACAGTATCGTTTCCGACACGCGCTGTACGCCGTAGACCAATCACAACAGAGACTAGGCCATCTGACCAATCAGAGCAGAGCAGGCTCACGGAAAGGAGGGGTTTAGAGAGAATGAATCTTTGAACTGCTTCGAACGAATCGTTTGAGAATCACTGGAAAATGAGGCGATATTAAATGCATATTTTGAGAAAATTAAAGCGTTTTTTGACCTAGGATTACATCCATGTAATCCTATTGTAGGAGACTCCCAAAACAATATTAGGAACCGTAATAATGGCATGATAGGGGCACTTTAAATAATAGTAATAATAATAATAATAGGTTTTATTTATATAGAGTCTTTCCAGAGCTCAAGGACACTTTACAATAAACAACATAAAAGGTCATTTCCAGCAACAGAAAAGTGTTCACCTAGCAATACCTTCTTTAATTCTGTAGGTTTAGCATTTTTTCCCACACGTGTGTGTGTGTGTGTGTGTGTGTGTGTAATTAGTAACATGTAAAATAGTTACTAAAAGAGAGGGAATAATTAAATTAAAAGAATTCAGATTTATAGTTTGTAATTTGTACTAATTAAATAAATTATTAAATTAAATTAATTATAATTAAACTAATTATTTTACATTTAATACATGCAAATTAACATTAGTTTTGGTTTATGTATTTATTGTTTGCTATAAATTTGAATCCCTCAAGTTAAATTTTTGTGTGAATTAGAGTACTTACTGACAAAAAAATGTTCTTAACAGTAAATTTCTGCATATTTATCATACAAAAAACATTCTGTAATGTATTACCAAAACAGAAACAGAGAATATCATTTCTTCACAGTCATGGAAAGCTCAACAGCTGTTTTTGTTCCGTTAACCCAGCAGGCAGAAGCATGTGAAACCACATGTAGTCCTTGTGCAAATTGTCTTGCTTGATGAATAGTTGATTATATGCTTCTGTAAAATAAAATGCAGTCACCTGGCTTCTTTAAAGGGGTCATATGATGCCAATTTTTCCTTTCTCGTTGAAGTGTTACAAGCTCTTGGTGCATAATTAGTATCAAGCAGTCCTGAGAGAGATTTTTTTCAAGTGTCCTCACTAGCTTTGCCAGCTCCTCCATGTTGTGTGACTTTTCCTCCAGCAACTCATAGCGAAGGCTTGAAATGTCCTGCTTAATCTCCTTCAGTTCACCTGCAACACAGCAGCCTTATGTCTGAATTATGAAATATATTGGTAACACTTTATTTTAAGGTGTCCTTGTTACACATTACATGTACTATAATAACAATTAATTATGCATAATTACATGCAAGTAACCCTAAGCCATTAATCATAAAACTTTCTTTGAGTATATTCCAATTATACAGTGAAAACAAATACATATTTCACCCCAAAATGCATTATTTCGTTACACTTGCGCTGTTTCAGACCCCTTTGCTTTTATTTTTTCAGTCGGACACATAATGGAATTTGTATTTGTTATTTTTTGACACGACTCTTACCATTAATGAGTCTGAAAATAAATACAGTGGTGGCCAAAATTGTTAGAACACTTGGCATATTTAAGAGGTTTCAGTTGTTTTTGTTGAATTGGTCATTACAATACCCATAAAACGAACTATTGCCAAAACTACCTGCGATGGAAGGAATCTGCTGGAACATTAAAAATGATGGACTGGCCCCCTCAAATTCCGGATCTCAACCCCATCGAGCAAATTTGGGGCGATTTGGAAAATAAACTGGACAGATCTATTGTACATTCAAAGGAAAGCCTTTGGCATGAGTTGCAGAAGACATGGGAAAACATTAGTGTTGAAGTTCTCAGGAAATATATTGACACTATGCCAGAGAGATGTGCTGCAATTATTGCTGCAAAAGGTGGACATACCAAATATTACATTTAAAATTGAATAAAAACAGTACGACTCACTTCATCTGACATTTGTTGTGCTCAGAACAACCATCTGCACGTTTCATGAACATTATGAAATTAAATCATGTTTTGGAGGCAAAAAAGGTCAATATTTTCAGATCTGTCAGGTGTTCTAATAATTTTGGCCACCACTGTATATATTTTGTGAATTATTCCTTTTATGAAAGCTTAAATCCACTCACCTTCATTGACTTCATCACATTCTTTGTCATTTTGAGCTTTGATGATATATCGCTTAACAAGACGCTTCATAATTTTCTGTACAGATTAAATGCAGTAAATTCAATGTCAAATTGCAAACAAGCAAATATGAACCATATTCAGATCTATGATAAACATTATGTATAGCATAAAAATGGAAGTAAACATGCCTGATATCGACTGGAGCTAGGAAGAGATTTGTCCTGGCAAGTTTTGCTCTGTCCCAACTGAATTACGATCCAACAAATCACAAGAGCAATATAAATGGATTTGTTTATTATGAGTGTCACACTGAATTTTCTTACTGTAATGTAGAATTAGAGGGGATTTTCCTCACCTCACTGAGCTCAGACCCCTTCATAATGGCTTTGTGTCTGTTGAAAAGCTCCTGCAAAAGACCCTTAGCCCCCATAACCACACCCACAACAGATTTGGGACTGGGAACCAAGTTAAAAGGCACAGGGAGAGTCCGGCCCTCCTCAAAGTAGGTGAACCAAAGCTTGGACCGGGCGAACTTCCACTCCACATCTGCATCATCCTGCAAGAAGCC